AAAAAGAAAGAAAACTGTTCGTCCGGTGGTAAAAAGGGAGGGAAGGATGAAGACGAGGGCAGACCTCGAGAATCGAGAAGGAGTCGCGCCAGGGAACGAGGCGATCGCGCACGAATCTGCGATTAATACGACATTAGAGAGGGGACCTTTGCCTGGGGAAAGGGAGGGGGAAGGGATACGAAATGACACGAAATTACACGCGGTCGAAAAGAGTGAAGCGTAGTTCTCGAAACTAGTATTTTTCTCCCCCATTTGGGGGAGAAAGGGGAATATCGGCTAATCGGTCGCGACTTGCCTCGATCCTTGCCTCAAAGATCTCGTACGGATGCGAATTATTATCTCTATGCGAGTAAAACTCGAGAGGGGGTTGATCCGAATGCAATGCTCGTGAAACTTTTAAATAAGGGAGAATAGTTGTTTGGCTGTTTGTTGGAAAAATTGGCGGAAAAATTTCGAACGTTGCATTCGGAGGGAGCATTATAGAATTGTAAATAGAATTATAGGATTCGATTCGCGCGGCGTCGATTTCCATTCCATTTCGGCAGACGAATGTTGTAAATAGCTAACGTTTCGGGAGAGAGATGGTGTATCGGTAAGGTTGAACAGGTTGGTCGATATCCCGTTAAATGGAAGCCAACCGTGATAACAAGATATTCCAGAAGTATTTTTCAGATTTCAGTATACAGTAGAAGGGACAATTGCGTCGCAACGCGTGTTTGAATCGTCGAACTTTTAGATAGATACGTTTTTAAAAATTAATAATTCAATTAGTCGGATTGGAATATGTCCAAATTCGACAGAATATTCCAAAGTTCGACGCTCCACGCGCGATTGCCGCGTTGTTCACCGAAATGATGAAATACCAGTATTACGAATACATAAAATTAGGCTGTAACGACGAAAAGAATAAAGGTGTAACGACATGTAAAGGGACACGCGTTAGAGGAATGACGGCGTTGTTGTGTAAAAACCGTCGGGACGCATCAGAATCAGTGGGTCTCACGGTATCGTGCGACTTAACGTTAAGTAATGCAGCAAGAAGTATACATAGTAATAAAAATCATGCTTTGTAAAATAATGTCTGTATAGCGAGAATTATTATATGGAAAATATATTATACTAAATTTAACGCTCAGCCTCTCTCATTCTACTTTTCTTTTTCTTCTATCTCTTTATTTCCTATCTCAACGAATATCCCCTTTTTTCTCTTTCAGATGGCACGTTCGTTATATTAGATATTTATCGTTATACGAGGGAGCATTATTATTATTACATTATTTTGATACGAAGGGAAAAGCGCTTGTAAGCATTCGAGATTCGAAAATCGTCGTTATTTTTATTATAATCCAAAGAGGGCAGGGTGCAAAGCTTAATCGAATTCTCGAATTAACACTTTCTTCCTCTTCTTTTTCTTAATTCGCGAAATTAACGACGAGCCGGAAGCAGATCGTAGATTAAAGTTACTACAACTCGGTCGTTAGGTGAAAATGAAAGGAAGAAGAGGCGTGTTTTCTTCGCCGTGTTTCCTCGGAGGGGAAAAAAATTTGCAACTATTAAAAGGCAAGCCTCCTTGGTCGTTTAGCTATCGATCCTTTTCCCCTGGCCACTGAATTGACCTTTGAACGACGAGGGCCCTTCGAGCCCTTCTTTCCAATGTTTTTCACGCGACGATGCATATTTCAAGAGACTCGCGATCGGGTTAATGCCTGAACACACAGAGATCGTGTACTGTTTGCTCATTTGCATTCCCATTTGCATACGCGCACTTATGTTAAACCGTTTGATCGCGTTTTGCAAGCAAACGATCCAAAAAACACTACACTAATCGTGATAGTTGAATAACGTAAGCTGTTTCGAATTATTTATCAATAAGTCTGCGAGAAAAGAAGTAGAATTATCTTAAGATTTTTTTCAATTTTTCGAGAACATTGTTAATCTGTATCGCGAATTATTTCTCTTTATAATCGAACGATCTTTGGATACATTAACGATGATGAAAAATATTTATTAACTTTGAGTTTTATTCGAGTATCGTAGATATACACAAAACTTTATATTTACGAATTATTTTTCACAATTTTTCATCTCGATTCAAATGGATATACGAATATTCTAAAAATGACATACACAGTAGATATGCACTAATCCAGATTAAAAAGCAGTGAGCATATTGACCTCCCCTATTCGACAGTTTAGTTTATGATAAACAGACTGCGAATTTTTATGCAAATTTTTAATTGAACGTGACCAGAGAAATGGAAATTTTATTTAAATATCGAAACAGTTATATAACTTTAATAATAACGAGGCAATATATTTATCCCTGCACTAACGATTAATCCCTAAACTTATCCAATAAATTAACTAAAATTAATAAATAACATTATCCAAAATACATATTATTGTTAATAACTTTTCCCAAACAAATCAAACAATACGGATTATCGAAGTTTTGTTCCCGATCCGCGCGAAGGAATCGCAAGAGCGTAAAGCGTAAAACAATTATTATTATTATTATTATTATTATTATTATTATTATTATTATTATTATTATTATTATT